TTTTTGCCAGAAACTATTGAAGTGGTTGTTGGAAAGTTGAAAATAGTTGCCCTTTTAAAATGTAGCTTGTCATAATGGCGTGATCAAACGGTCTTTTAGGTTGACCAAAACCAATGTAAACCAAATTAGATTTTAGTAGTTGATAGTCATCGTTGGTAATTTCATCAAAAGTTTGGTTCCACTCAACTTTTTTCAACTTTTCAATAGCTTTTTCCACTTCATCCGTGACGGAAAACGCAAAGTAGCTGACGCATGACCAAATGTTTGGGTAAATGTGATATGCAGAGTTTTCGTTGTCATTTCGTTCATCATATTGTGCAAAAGGAGAGTGGATTTTTCTGTTCAACGCGTATTTTTTTATTCCAACGAAAAAAGTTTTTGCTGCTTTTTCCTATTTTTGAACCATAAGTTGTTTCATCATTGCTGAGACTGTAAATAGGGCAAACTTGTTTTTCAAACATCGGCTCTAATTGCTCTTTGTGATTACCATAAACATTTTCTTTTTCAAAGTTTACAGCTGCCAATGTCTTTAACAGAGAAATGTTTTCTACATCTGAACACGTTTCAAGGCATTCATAGTTGTGAGCATTTGACTTCGTTTTAAAAAGACAAAAGATTAAGCACATTTAAATAATTTGTATTAATATAATATAAAATTAACTCACTTGCAGTTGCAATGTAGAGGTTCAATTAAAATAGTTAGAGTTGAAAAACATTTAAATTTGCATTAATTGAAAGTTTGTTGTTGTTGTCAATAAAAATTTAGCAGTTAAAATAATGTCAAAAGTAGAAGAACAATAATCAAATAAAATGTAAATGATAAAATAAAAAGTTTCTCTTGAAAGTGTAGCGGTTGCAATAGCAATCACCAAAAAACACTATTTTTGCTGATACACAGTTCACGTGCATAATCAAGGTCATTTTGACAAAACAAGTATCTACAAGTGTTTTTAGAGTTTGTTAGCGGCGTTCTCTGTCGGCGATTTAGTGAACCCGCAAAAAAATAAATTAATCTGATGATAAATTTTGAGATAAATGAACTTTATCACTCAAAAAGGACATCAGAAAAAAATATTTTTAAATAAACTTGTTTGTTGATTAATAATTTTGTTATTTTTATTTTTTTCAAGTGAGTAAAAGCAAAAAACTATAATGACGAATTCCTGTTCAATAAACTCAAATTATAAAAATTTCATTTGCTTGTCCACATTAGTGAAATGCAAAAGTTCTGAATTTACGCAATAATTTAACAGTCAGTTGCAGAAATGCACCTTCCGTCTAGTGGTCATTAGAAAACAAATTGTATTTCATTTGGGAATTTCTAAAACAACAGTGCTTGCACAGGGATGGAGCGATGCTGGACCATTGGTTGTGGTTGTGATGGTGGAATGATACATCGCGGGTTTATCACAGAAGGGTTAGGGGAAAACACACACACAACTAGAATTAATAATGCTGGACTGAATCACTCGGTGTCTATCAAATATATATTGCACATGTTTTTGGTCAAACGCAAAAGAAGTACTTGGTTTGACTCTTTGGTCATTGTTAGGTGAGATTGTTCGCCAAAGCTCACTGATGATCTAGGTGTCAAAGTGCATTGTGCACATTCGAGGTAGAGTGGGCGCTATTGTTGGTGTTGGTGATGGTGATGCTACTGCTGCTGCTGTTGCCTACTCCCACTGGGTACGATATGGTCCTCTTGGCTGCCTTCTGCGAAGGCTTGCTCCTCAGTCCGCTGAAACCACCTCGCGGAAGCACAGCCCGTCGAGAGGCATTGCTCTGTGCCGGGCGACCGAGACCATTCGCCTTCAGCTCCTCCAGGTGGGCCACATAGCCGTCCTCGAGTGACTGTACAGAGTGATCATGTTGATTAAACAACTGCAAACTATTTACAAAAAAAGGTACTCACAATGGCTAGCTCCTGCTGCTTCTTTGAAGCTTTACCAACAGTGTAAATCTGCTCTGGCTTCATGTCCAAGTCTTTGTACACGCCAATGTCCTTGTTGGAACCGTAGGCAGCTCGAAATATAATGTCCATCTTGAAAAGGAAAAATGGCAATTAAGTTTGTGCTACATACAATCCAATCGTTGTTACTTTTTGTTCCAAATTCTTCAAGTACTCTGTCTTTTGTCGAAGTGGATCCAGGTTGAATCCGTCCATGAAAAAGATAAGCCCGTGGGGAAAATTATGCTGAGACAACCAAGAGACGACACGCTGCTGTTGCATGTCGGGACGACCGGTAATGTAGATGATGAGGTAGCCTAGCTCTTGCCAAAATCTGCCAGGGAAAAATGTTTAGTCAAAAGAAGTAACTTAAATCAGATTCACATACCGAACGACGTCGATTGATCCAGCACGAACCTTGGGATCACGACCAGAAACGGAGACACTGGCAGTGAGGGAGCCATCAATACTGAAAACAACTGCCTCTGTCTTGGCTGGCACTACGGCCATAAACAGATCAAGACTGGTATGATCGCCCCTGCAAAGAATGTATGATTTAGTAAATGAAAGCATGGAACTAATTTGCCACATACCTGACGACCATTTTAAATTGATACAAACCACAGGGCAAAATTTTCTCTCTCGGGACCGTGTACGAAAGGCGGCCATTCTTGTCGGTGAGAACAGTGGCAACGTAGTTCCAATCTCCCGTTCGGGAACAGCGCATGTGAATGTCCACTTTTTCCCCAGTCAAGGCAATCATATCGAGTGGACCGTAGGCGAACCGTCCGGTAATCACCTGGTCCATGCTCTCCTTGACGATCACGTCATTGGCACGGTGGTTGGCAGTGTGTGCCTTAATTTTGACAGAGGTCCGCTTTCGTTGCCACTTTTCTCGTGGCTGATTTGGCTTGAAGATTACCTCCCTGGTGTCGTTTGTGCCAGCGCCAACAGAAGAGTAAGCATCCAGTTTGTTGATCTACCGAAAAGTCCCGTTAGTAGGTGCAGCTAGCAAGTACCCGAAACTACTAATTTGCTTACTTGTCGTAAGATAAATGAAATCACATCACTTGACTCCCAGTAACTCGAGTGAAATATATGCGGCAAAGAGTGGGTGGGAAAGTTGCTGAGACCTTCAGGACAGTAGAGCGCNGTACCCGAAACTACTAATTTGCTTACTTGTCGTAAGATAAATGAAATCACATCACTTGACTCCCAGTAACTCGAGTGAAATATATGCGGCAAAGAGTGGGTGGGAAAGTTGCTGAGACCTTCAGGACAGTAGAGCGCATAGTCGATGCGCTTAGAGCCCCACCATCTCGCCATCACTGCACGATAAGGATGTTAGAATTAAAGTACAGTTTATACGTCAACCAAGGTCACTTACTCGATGAAATGTTGGGTAAATTGAGATTATCAACAATAGGGGAATTATTGCTAGAAATACTAATCTCACTCGTTCGGCGAGCATGAGATTTTGTAAACGCTGGTCCAGTGTTTTCACTAGTAAACAAATACGAGTACGTCTGTAGATATTCAACTGTAACGAAACAAAGTATGTTACAAAAAGTATACACAAAAGTAAATAAAAGTCACGTACGTAAATGAATTGGCTGACCATCGCCAAGTGGAAACTTTTGATAACGTGGAACACTAACTGGGGCAATGTAGGAAAATCTAGCACTGAGAAGGGGCTCAATCCTCAGCGCAGAAGGATCACTAGGGTGAAATAGGTTGTAGAGATTGGCACAAGCAGGCTTTAACAAAGTAACTGCAACAAAAATATAAAATTAGAAATACAAAAGATCAAAACTGGCGTAACATCACACTTACAGGCCTTATCATCCAAGCTCAGCATTTTTCGATAAGTAAGGACGATGCCCAACAGAGAGCCAAACATGAAAAAGTCATTAACTTCAAATNCAAAAATATTAAATTAGAAATACAAAAGATCAAAACTGGCGTAACATCACGTACAGGCCTTATCATCCAAGCTCAGCATTTTTCGATAAGTAAGGACGATGCCCAACATAGAGCCAAACATGAAAAAGTCATTAACTTCAAACTCCAGCTTAGCAGAAGACAGATCACTGGAACCTGAACTTCGTCGTCGAATAGCCGTGGAAATTAGGAGTCGATTGGTTGACGGTTCAGAATGTATCACATCGCCTGGGTGAGACAGTGATTTACAGTAGACCTGCTGTTTTGTGTAGGTGCATCCTTTGACGGTGCTCGCAGTGGGAAGTGTCCGTGACTTGCACAGAGCATTCATTTGATCCGGTGATGCTCCCTGTGAGGTTTCAGACTCAACTGGAAGTGAGTTCAGAGAGTCAGTTATTGATATGATTGGATTGGACGCCTGAAGTGGCAGTTTAGTATCTGCCGTTTCCTGAATGCTCAGCTCGCTGCCGTATGCAGCTGCCTGTGAGGATGTTCCATGACATAGGGCATCAAATCCGAGAATGGCGCCCACCGAGTCACCGATGAGGACGACCTTTCCGCTAAAGTGCCTTCCCTCTTCCGACTTGGAAAAGTCAGCAAAGACCTTATTGCACTGGGCAATGACGCTCACCACATTCTCCTGGTACTCAAAGGAGGATATTGCAAAGAGTGGCAGTGCTCCGATTGGAATGGAGCCAAATGCAGGTGTAGTACTGTTCTGGCCGCAGTAAGGCGACAGACTAGAGAGCACCATGAGGCTGTCGTTGCAAATGGCCGGACAGGCGATGTATCGAATGGCGATGCGGTCGATTAGATTGCTGTAGTGCTGACGAACCACCGTGTCCAGTGTGCTCCCAAAAGTGCTAATGTCAGTTGATTTGGAGTTGTTGGCCTCATTGCTGACGTCCAGAATGCTGCCGCCGTGCAGAATGATGATCAGTGTGCTGATCGGACATTGAACATTGGGCGTGAGAGAGCTGGTCGGCGAATCAGGCTGAGACACTTCCTCAGCTGACTTGCTCTGTGATATTATGTCAGATTGAACTTGCTGTAAAAACTTTGCTGAAAAAATGTTGTCAGCTGAAAAATAATATTGAAATAAGTAAACAAGTTTAAAGTCAAGTGATAGTAAACTAACCTTCGGTTTCTTTTATTGAACTTGCATGAAAGCAGCCTCTTGAGAGACAGTTTGGAGAGTTTTCATCTTGGACGTCTGGAAGTTGTTAAACAAAGGTAAAAAGTTGTGACATATCAAATAGAATGCTTACCCTCGGCATCGTAAAACTCATCCGAACTCGAGTCCGAGTCACGGGCTAAGCTTTGCATTCTCCAAGCAGAAATGACGTCAAAGGTGTCTCCGGGAGAGTGCAAAGTGGAGCGCGAATTGCTGCGAGACCAGTGGGCAGACTTCCGTTTGGCAGCCTCGTCAAAGCCATCCTTTGAGAGGTGACTCGGGGCCAGCGAGTATTGAGAGAGGGAGTTTTTCTTGCTCTTTGGCACATCAAACTGAAGCGGATCAATTGCATCATTGTCCTTGTCAATGCTGCTCATGTCAGCCAAGTGGGCAGCACTGGCGCCCGACAGGGCTTGGTGACCTGATCGCTCTTCATTGAGGTTCTCAATGGGTGCATTGTTATTGTTGCACGGCAGAGCAGGTGCATTGGGATCTTGGCCTTGGGCGTTCATTCGTTGCTGTAGAAAGAGCTGCGTCTCTAGCTCAATATGGCGAATGTCTGCCATTGTCAGGCCGACCCACTCGTCCTGCCATGTCCAGGCTTGTTGATGCGCCTGCACCATTGTATTCCGCAATGCTGTAGATAGAATAGGGTTACTGCAATCAATTCTACCGTTTATAGTCGTTTTAATTATCTTACCAATGTCATCGATAAACTGCTCAATTTTACTTTGCATTCCCCAGTACTTGAACTCGACTCGGCACAACTTGTAGGCGCACATGATGGACTGCTTCGGTTTGCCATTGTTCCAGTACTCATTGATCCAGTTCTCAGAGAGTGGGCCCCGGCCAGTTTTTGTTGACTTAAAGTAGCGTGGATCTTCCTCGCGGTTGTACTTTGATGGCGAAACTTGATCTTTGACAATGTCAATGAAATCTAAAAGAAAACGTTGTAGACTGGCTGTTAAAGTAGATAAAAAATAGAAAAAAACTTACCGACTTGACGATTCGTTTCTGAACAGTTGAAAACATTGCTTTGATTTCCGCAGTCATCGTAGTAACGCGTTTCGATTTCAATAGAAAACTTGTTTACAACTGGCAAAAGATAGCGAGTTTTTGTGTACGGATAAGCGTTCCATGCCATCTCCTCGACGATCAACGCCGATTTGGGCAGTATGGCTTTGAGCCATGCTGTAGAAAAGAAAACAGAAAGTCAGGTTATAGTATTTTCAAAAAAGAGTTGAAAGTTAGTTTTACCTGGCAAGTGTGTACCCACGTGATACTTTTTGAAGGTGTACTGGCCGGATCCTCCCGGACCGTCAGTATACGGTTCATTTTGTATGATTTCCACGCCACAGTCTGTCCCTTGACTCTCTTCTCTACTTTTTTTCTGCAGTGAAAAAGGGTGAAAGATGAGTGTCAACAAGGGCAGTGTCATTGAACCACACTTACGGCAATCATGTACAGCTGGGCAATCTTGTACTCCTCCACCGACAACGGCAGAGGTATTCTGTACTCCTTGATCAGCATAGTGGCGCTGAAGATGGCAGAGATGATTAGTTCAAGTGCAAAGAAGTGCAAGGAGAGGCGACGGAGCAGAGGAGCACTGCATCAACTTGACTGTCTCTACTAGGCTGGTCATCAAATGACGGGTATCAAGTGGGCTGATAACTAGTCACTAATCAGCGATTAGTGACCAGTCTTAATGTCGCTCAGTGTGGCTGATAAGGTGCAGCCGTTGTCAGGACGACTGCTCCAAGTGGCCTCAGGATATAAAGCCGCTCAGGAGGAAGAGGAGGAGGAGGAGGAGGAGGTGATGGTATTGAAAACAACTACTGTTGCAGCTGCCGGTGTGCTGGTGAATTTTATCTCAACAGTCTCGTTTTGAGAAACAGCACGCCTTGACGCGAGTGACCATCGCAACCAAAACATGCCAACACCAAATGTGGCCTACAGCGCCAAGACAGGCGCCAAGACTGCCAAGACTGTCAAATTTACCCAAATCTGCATTGTACGTCAGTCTCAACAATTGTACGACACGAGTTTCTCCCCCCAATTTGCTGTAAAACCATCTGGGCGTCTCTCTTTCACTTTCTCTCTCCTGTTCCTTTAGCCTGCTACTCTGCTGAAGATGATTGCCTGGCAACCCGTTTCGTAAACAAAGCCTTCAAATTGGAATGAATATTTACTCAAATGCATCTATATGTGGTGTAATGTGATTGTGCTAGACAGTTTAAACTTTTAAGATTGCTATTTAGCTATATAGCACTGAGCCTGTACAATATCTGCTGGTCTCTACCATTCTGACAGCGATGGCTTTCTCTCTAACTGTAGTGCCGGAATGCGATTGCGCCTAGAGATCCAGAAATTCCTTTCGTTTACTTCTCTACAAGAGCGTCTTAAATGCCAAAGGTTGAACCCGGAGAGGCGCTCACCGAAATAACCCACCAAACCGTAATTTACTAGTTGACTAAAACAATAGAGCCTCATTGATGCTCAAAAAAGAAAATGAAGTGTTAATCGCTAAGCAGTGAATCAACAATATTTATACATCTACTGTCACACAGTTTATCCTTTCGGAATGAACCCAGTCAAACCAGAGTCACAACAAAAACTTGTCAGAACAGGTTTCCCCGCAAGGTGGTGTAGGTACCACTGGGAGGTATGACAAAACATTTCTTAGTATGACCTGGTTTCCCAAACTGAAATGTGGTCACCGAAACAAAATATACTAAAAACTTTTGACTGGAAGTTTAGACCGAGAACCTTGTTGATCAGTGTTGATGGTTCTACGTAAACATTTTGCTAATATTGTTTGAGCTGTAAAAGTTGAGCAGTGAGTGCACGTCAACTTACCTAGAGGCTGATGGAAGGATTCAGTATTGAGGAATGGACAGCATCAGAGTGGCAGCAGAAGAGAGTGTAGCATACAAGCAAGTATTCTGGGCTGGTCATTGGTCCGGATGAAAGTGAAAAGCCATTATGCTTTGGTCGAGACATTGTAAACACAGGTTGCTCGTTGCTGTGTTTAGGTTTGGCAAACAGCTGCTGGCCATCAGTGGGCTTGGGCAAGACTGGAGTGATTGACTTTCAGACTGAGTGGCTGAGAGAGAAAGTGAGGTTAGTAGACAAGCTTGAAGTTGTTTGCAAAGATGCGTGCTTCTCACAAGGTGACAGGTGAGAGAAAGAGAGCAACCCAGAAAGAGTGCCTCACTCTCGCTGTCACACTTGCAAGGCAGTCGTGCGCGCTCGAAATTGGTGCATCCTATCGGCACTATCAGTGCACAATGCTTTTTCCCCAGTCTTGTATACATTTGCTCCCTACTCACACTCTGCACACTGCACTGTAGAGGCAGTGTCGCTCAGCTGCGTCCCAGAAGAACGAGAATGTGGCTCTCTCTCTCTCTCTCTCTCTTTCTCTTTGGCGCGAAAAGCACAAATTGTGCTGCACAATTGATCAGGCACCCTTCAGTGAAATACACCCGAATTAACCTCTTCATTGTGTAGAACTTTACCACAACTTCTACGCCAAATGGGTTGAAATCAGTTGAGTTGAAATTCGTTTAAGCAGCTTAGTCCTATTTCTGTTTTATGAATTTGATTAAACTTTAATTAACAAAATTTAACTTTTTCAATTTTTTAATGAAAAAAATTAGGCAAGCAAACTTGATGCATTTTTCTTGAATAAAACGCGCAAAACATTGATTGTCGACGAATGACCAGTGGTAAAGGCGGTAGTTGTGGTGATTTATGGTTTTGACTGACAGCTGATATCGACTGTCAAATGCTGCGACGCTGCACAATCAGCAAAGCTTCTAAACTCTATCTTTCTCTTTCACTTTCTGACGACATATTTCACTGGCACTTGATATCTGACCGACTTGAATAAATTTTTGTTGATAAGGAGTCACGCTCATCATCTCATCGAGGGCATTCTTCCTCGCGTACAGCAGCGGCAATATGGCAGGCGGAACGTTTCCATCCCGATTTCAGCAGGCACAAAGACAGTGGCTGGTACTGTCTCTTGAATTATTGCAAAAGTGCTCTGGTAGAGCTGGTCCGAGCTGATTAGATTTGATGGCATCTTTTGAGTTTGTATAAACGTTGGCAAGGCAGACATGGAGCCTGAAAAGTACTTTGTTACTGCAATCGCACATATCCATACAGCAGTGCCTGTTCAGCTGAGCACACAACCAAACTGAAGGAAAGTGATCGGCACACAATTTGAGACGCATTCGAAAAATACTCGCCATATTTCTTCTTCAAAGTTGAATAGTTAATTAGTCAAAATGGGAATATTCACCGGCTTCAACACCCAACTTTTGGCCCTCCAGGTGATGGTCTTCTGTTGGTTCTCTGCAGCCGCCTGTTTGATGCCCTACATGGTATTGTTATTACTGCTCTAAAACATTATCATTAAAGCTAACATTTAACGCCAGAGTATACACATGAGAGCCCTAGGAATCACTGTGGANCTTCTTCAAAGTTGAATAGTTAATTAGTCAAAATGGGAATATTCACCGGCTTCAACACCCAACTTTTGGCCCTCCAGGTGATGGTCTTTTGTTGGTTCTCTGCAGCCGCCTGTTTGATGCCCTACATGGTATTGTTATTACTGCTCTAAAACATCCTCATTAACTAACACTTAACGCCAGAGTATACACATGAGAGCCCTAGGAATCACTGTTGAAGAGACGGCATTCGTCTACACCATTCTGCCATTTGCCGCAGTCCTTGGCTCACCTATAGCTGGTTTTATTGGTGATTATTTACTTATTACTTACTATTTACTATTTACTATGATTATTTATTTATGGTGGTTATTTACTGCAACCTATAGCTGATAAACTCGGTAATTATAAACCGGTAGGAAGAGATGCACCTAGAGCACCTAGGGAGAGCTTTACTGTGCCTATATCATCATTTACTGTTTTCAGGTGCTGTGCTCTTCCCTGGTGGTCACCGTCATCACCTCAGTTGCCTTGATGTTCATTCCCAGTGCAGGCGATCCGGAAAAAGAAGATCAAAGTCCTGAAGAGGAATGGCGTCACCTGTGGGTCTTTTGGCTGTACTTTATCATTCGAATAGTCTTTGCAATCACATCAGGCATATGCTTCACTCTGCTGGACGCCACTTCGATTGCGCTCAGTGAAAAGTACAATACCTCATTTGGCAGGTTGGTACAATAGCAAAATACAATAAATTAAAGTACAATTCCAATTTCAGAGTACGCTTTTGGGGGATTTTGGGCACTGGTCTCTTTTCGCCAATCTGCGGATGGCTTGTCGATCGGACCGACGGTCAGTCAGAATTTGAATCTGACTACTCACCTACATTTCACTTCTTCAACTTTTTCGTGTTTCTCACGGTGGTCATCTCAATTGTCCTTGACATTGAAGTGTCGGCGCCTCCAAAGAATATGCTTAGAAATCTCTTGAAACTGATAAAATCACCCTCCGTTTGGATTCTCTTTGTTGTCATTTTTGTCTTAGGCACCCTGTGGGGCTTTATTGAAAGCTTTCTTTTCTGGTATTTGCTCGACTTGAAAGCCCCCAAGATGCTGCTCGGCTTGACGCTCACCACCGGAGCCGTCGTGTCGCTGCCCTTTCTCGTCACCTCCGGTTGGTTTGTCAAAAGATGCGGCAACGAGAACTTGATGATTCTGGCGCTGGTATTCTACTTTATCCGGTGTTACGGTTACTCGCTCATCGAGTCGCCCTTCTGGTGTTTTCCCTTCGAGGCGATGGAGGTTTTTACGTACCATTTAATGTGGGTTGCCGCCGCCATTTACAGCGCCGAACTGGCACCGGAAGGCCTTCGAGCGACAATGATCGGAGCAGTGGGCAGCCTGCACTACGGCAGTAAGTGTCATTTTTATTTTTCAAATGTGTGCCCAAATATTAATTTTGCTCACTTTTTTTCAGTCGGACGAGCTTCCGGTAGCATGATTGGTGGCTCGATGATGGCCTTGATTGGCGCCCGATTAGCTTTTCGCTATCTGGGAATTGGAGCAGCGGTGACGGCAGTCTTTTACAGCATTTACTACTATGGTTACTTTCGAAAAACTAAACCAGCCAGTACCAGCGTGACGGAGGTGGTGGAGAAGACAGCAGCGAAAAAGTCAACTCAACAAAACGGCGCATCAGTGGACTGTAAAGTAACCTTAACCAATGGAACTCCAGACACCGTGAAAGTTGAAGCAGCCCAGGTGATGCAAATTTACTCAGTTGAAGAAAACGCTACAGCTCTGTGTAATATAAAACTAGAGACAATTGAGAGATGAAACTTTTGTATACTTTTTATATGCTTTTGTAATTGTACATTTTATTTTTGAATGATATCTATTTCTATTGCACTCAAAGTGTCCTAAAACTCATTCAATTGAGTCAGGTTTAATAGCAACTAAAAAGATGCAAAGATCTTTTAGGGAAGTTGTACGTTTTTCATAGAGCACATAAAGCTGCAAATTGTTGGCACAAATTACTGATGCAGTTTCGATAAGTGCAGTTGGTTGATTACAACTTGTGCAGCAGTGGTTTGCCACTACTGTCGACTAGGCGGAGGCAAACCAATCCTTGAATGGCCTTGTTGTAGTTGTCCTCGCTCAGCACTGCAGTCCGACTGTAAATTGCATAATCGTCGGAATTATTCTCATTGGCGTGATACAGTGTCATGTATTTGTCCGGTTCAACGCTGAGCACAAAAGTGGGAATGGCTGCGGTCCACGATCCTCTGTTGACCAGGTTCTCCAGTTTCCCTGGTAGAGATTCATGCTGAGTGAGGTTATAAGTTTTTACCAGATTACCATCCTCTTGAACTGCAACTTGCAAAGCCCGCCCACCTAGGTGGCTAATTTTGGTTACGGTTTTCTTGGGCAGTTTATCTTTGTGATACACAAGATGCCAATCACCAGACAAGTCGGACACATTTAACTTGTTCACGGCGCACTGCTCATGTTGGTAAAAAATGTATGGAACTCCTTGAGCCGAGAAAAAGATGGCACAGACGACGGAAAAAGCGACCAGCACTTGAAGTTGAGTCATGATGGCGTTGATTTTGATGAGCGGGAATATTTGGCAACCGTTTAAATACTGAAAAGAGATAGTACGCAGTTAGGCAAAAGTCTGAAAATCAACTTGAAGTGGATAAATTCAAACCTGCTTTTAGCCAAAAACGACTATGAAGACACTTTTGATTGATTTTGGTGATTTTAAAACTTCAGTTCAAGGATTCAATCTTTTAAAGGGGTTCTGCTGTTAGCAGATAAATCTACTGGAAAGTTTTAGTGGAGGCAAAGGAGATTGAGTTAACGCCAAAATACACTATTGACAAATGCAAAGGCAATAGATTGCGCATGAGAAGTGAACACCACAGTGAGTATCGCCGAGCACAGTAACATGTACATGCGAAGAAAGTTACAAGCTTACAATCTCAACGACAGTGTGATAATATTTCAGCTTCTTTAGTTTGTCTGTATAAATTATGTTCTTTTTCATGTTCTAAAATAGTAAGCGTGTTTTCAAATTTTTAATGTCATTGCCGCATCCTTGAGGATTTTAAATGATGAAGATAAAGATGATGAAAAGATTTTATCTTTAACAAACACAAGAATAATTAATATTGAAAACAGATAAAGATAACTTTGGTCTGAAAGACAAATGTTTGAAAATCACACTTTTCTGTGGTCAAATGTGTTTACAGATTGTAAACTTGGCAGTTTACAATTTATTTGTTCACTAGGTGGCCTTCAAATCGGCTGCCAACTTGTGAAAAAAACTCGATCTAAGGCTATCTTTATTATTCAAAATCGCGTAATAACTTGATTTTTTATGCATCTATTAAAAAGTTTTAAGGACGACTTGAAACATTTTTGTATTTTTTGACCGCCAAGCTAAACTTGACAGTACAATGAAATCTTTAAACTCCTGAGAACTAAAATTCATCTTTCAGAAAACGACATTATTTTTTTGTATTAAAAATGCTATAAATAGTTGGCAAAAGTAGACTGGCTTTAGAATTGTCATGCAGCTTGCTGAGGGTAAATTTGACTTTACGTG